ACCGTGCACGCCATCAAGCCTGAGCTTATCACATACGGGATTGGGAGGTTGATGCGCACCATACGCAGTAGTTATTGTTACATAGTTAATGAAGTCTATTTTGACTTTTATTCTGACGATCTGGATCATTTATTTTTTAAAAGATATTGAGTACAATAAATATACTTATAAAAATTTAAGTTAAACAGATATCGATATTCTTTCATCCAGACATATTTATATCTAAAAAATTGAATGATAAATTTAATTTTAAGTATAAATATGAATACAAACATGTCTTGATGAAAGGGATACCAAAATCTGATTAACTTGAATTTTTACATTCATATTTAATTCAATGTCTTCTAAAAATTGAACGGTTCAGATCGTTAAAATGAGATCCAAAAAAAGTCTCATTAATTACACAATAGTCACTGCTGTGCATGGTGTGCAGCAACCTCCCCAAACTGATCACATCATCGGTCCCAAGTTCTATCCTAAGCCCAATTTTAGCCTAATTTCTTATATATTATTATGTCAAATCTTTCATATAAAAAAATATATTTATTTTTTACTTTTTTGTCATTCATTCTGTCAAATTGACTTGATAGGTATCAACCCATGCAGCAGTTGACCTAATAATATCACTGCAATGTCAACCTTAAGGTCCATTCAACCCATGGTGCCTCAAAAAACGTCACACATTAAGTAAGCTTATTGTAAGGAAAATGGGAAGAGGAAATAATATTTGTCATTATGTATTCTGACTAAATTAAGAGAAAAATAATAAGAAAATATAATCTTTATCACTGAATAGACATTAACCTTTTAATTTATTTTATATTTATTATACGTGCAACAAATAATCTTTATGTACAATCATTCATTCTAAAAGACTCACCAACATATGAAAAATTATATAAAAGGCAAAAAGTTTTAATAATATATTTCAGTGATATATAGTAAGTTTAAAAATAATTAATCCCAACTACATGTATTTCTAGTACATAGCATAATTGTTCAATGATGTTTAGGATTCCCAAAATTTTCTTTTCTAAGTTGATTTTTGACAAATTTATAAGTTGGCCATTTTGTTTTATCCTAAAGTTTTAAAGGCAATTATTGTATATTTTTTTTTTAATAGGGCTTCAACATGTAAAAGTGTAACAATATTATAAAATAGTTGAATTAAGAGATTAAGATATTTGTAATCAAGAATGAAGTGAAGTACTGGCTTGAGGTGCCCCCCAAACTCTTGGAAACCCTCCTATGTATGGTGTATATTAATTTGAATAGTGAAATTGTAAAATATATTTATGTAGTTAATTTAGAAGTTTATATAAAATCTTATAACAAGTATAGATATATTTTGAGTGTTCTTAAACAACAAAGTATGTATTTGATGTGAATCATGAATATGAGAGATTTTCAAAACGGCAAAAAAAAAAAAAAAAAAGTTAGACAAATATACTCATTAAAATAATTTTTTATTAATGATGCGAGTCTTATTAAACTATGATTAATCACTTTAATAAAAATAAAATAAAGAATTAACCTCGTAGAAATTTTTAAAAAAAAAATTAAATCTCAATGTTTGTTTCCCAACACATCCTATTACGTGAATAGAATCCCCATTAATTCATATGTAAAACCTTAAAATATATAAATCTCAAGAATATACATGTAACTATGTGTACATGATACATATGTTTATTCTTATTAAACTATGATTAATCACTTTAATAAAAATAAAATAAAGAATTAACCTCGTAGAAATTTTAAAAAAAAAATTAAATCTCAATGTTTGTTTCCCAACACATCCTATTACGTGAATAGAATCCCCATTAATTCATATGTAAAACCTTAAAATATATAAATCTCAAGAATATACATGTAACTATGTGTACATGATACATATGTTTATAGTTCGATAGTTCATTTTAACGAATTCAAAACAACATTATCATATTTATAAAAATCCAAACCCATCAAAGTTTACAAATCAAAATTTATATTCAACCCTTCAACAAAGCACACACATACCCAATTATAGGTAATAAAATAGGGAAGAAATCAAAAGATATATTTATATAGTCTAATAACTCATTTCGGAAAATTTGAAACAATACATTCATGTTTGTAAGAAGCATAAAACAAAATATAAATTAATAAATAAATAAAAATCATGAACCCTAAGTCATCAATTAGTCAAAGTCTTTAGCAAATAAATAAGTATATAAAAAAAAACGCATCATATAAAAAAAAAAAAGAACAACAAAAAAAGAAAACAAAAGAACAAAAAAATGATATAAGAAAACAAAAGGACATTAAATGATAGAAGAAGAAAAAAAAATGAAACAAAAGGACATTAAAAATAATGAAATAAGAGAAGACTTTAAAGTGTTAGGGAAAATAAAAAGAAAAAAAAATGATATAAGAAAACAAAAAGACATTAAATAAGAGAAAATAAAACAAAATGACATTTTTTTTTAAATGATGAAATCAGAGAAGTCTTTAAAGTGTAGGGGAAAATAAAATGACACATTATATGACAGCCAATATGATATAACAAAAGAGCTTTCTCATTCAAATAAAAAAATAAAAAATAAAAATAAAAAAGTCCTTCAAAAAAAGAAAAATACAAAGAAAGTAGAGGAGAGAGAGAAGATGGGATGTATGATAGTGAAAATAAATGGACACAAAGAGAGACAGAAAGAGAGACTACATGTGACAAATTCTTAAAGAGCCACATGCTAAAGTTTTAGGCCCTCTTCGATAGAGTTTGGGAACTTTAGTTTTAGTTATTGATTTTTACGTGGTATTTATTTATAGTTTTTAAAAATTAATTTTATATTCATTTTTGAAAATTTTGTCAAAGGTAAAAAAATTTGGACTAACCAAATGTTTCACTGGTCGTCCGGCCAATTGACTGAAATAGTGTAATTTTTTTATTTTTTTTTACAATTGACACATGTTAATTTTTATATATTCAACAAAAAATATTTTCTAAATTTTTTTAAATTTTTTATGAACTTGAATAGAATTTTGAGTTGTGTGTTTAGTTATGAGTTGTAAGTTTTTGTATCAAATATCATATGTCATATCAAAAATTTCACACTTAATTCAAAACTCTTTTCAAAACCCATTCACCAAACAATTTTTTCACATTCAAATCATAATTTCAAAACTTACAAACTCAAAATATAATTCTTATTTTCAAATCATATTTAAAAAATTTTACCAAACGCTACATAAAATCTCTTACAAAAGACTTTTATTTTACAGATATATTATATTATATTATATTATATTATATGATTAGGGGGGTTAACAATCAAAATGTGTGAAATAGCAAGTCCAGTTTATAATTTTGTTGCAATCCCACTTGCAAGAGACCTAGGCTGGACACCTGCCACTCATTCACTCACACACTTTCCAGGAAAATATTTGCATTGGCCTTTTAGAACCTTACATTGTTATACATTTTAGATACATGGGACTAAATGGGTTAAAAAATTCCTTCATGGACTTCTTGGGTTAAAACACTTCTAAATTGGACTTATCAATAAAAATCCCTTGATTTTATGAGAGGTTTATTATTGTAGTTAAAAAATTATATCTTTCTGATGTGCATCTAATACAAATTGGCACTACAAGGGAGCTATTTGAGTCATATTATTTGTGACAAGAACACTTGTTAACTCAAAAATGTATTATTAGCGTCGACAAAATAAGATTATCTCAAAAAAAATTTACTTACTTTTATTATTTGAGTTGGCAGACTATACCGTTTCAAACAAAATATTATTTGCGTTAGCCAAATTTTTGCTATCTCAAAAAAAAAATTATTTAATTTTTTTCCACTTTTTTGACTCCAAAAATTCCATCGGGCGCCTTTTTTCGCACCTATTTCAGGTTACTTTTGCATCTATATTGTGTGTCGTCACAAAAAGTTATTAAAAAAATTTAAAATGACGTCGTTTTTAAAACTTGATATATATACCCTCCCTTCTTCTTCTTTTTCGCCCTAAATTCCATCTTGGTTCATCACTGAGAAATGAACTTTGCGTTGGCACCACCGATTCTTCATCTCTACCGGCACCACCCGGCACGTCCCGTATTTTATTACTCAGATAACATTACCAATATTCATTAATTAAGTCTATTTACAAATGACAATTTATTCTTGGATGAAATGATGAATAATTAAATATACATGTTCCATCTTGTAATACAACAATAACATTCACATACGAATAAAAGAAATACCCTGAGGCTTACAATAAAAGAGATGACACTACTCTTTACAAAAAGATAGCATTCAGCCAAACAAACAAATAAAATAGTACAATCCATCACTACATTATACTTATGAAATGGTAAAGCCCATTGTTTGATCTTCAAATCCAAAAAGCATTTCCTGTACACATGTACAGGTAGGAGGTGAGCAAACCACCAACTCACCAAACAATCTCATATTATAACATTAGAATATATGCGAGTACAAAGATACACATACATATACGGGAAATCATATCATGTCAAAAATCATATGATTTTATTACATAATCTCTTAAATCCAATTTATTTAATTAATCACAACAAGTTAACTTAAAAAAATAAACATGCATCAATAGTTACAAGACATCCCTTTTAATTTATTCAATTACCCCATTGTCAATTGAATCAAATAATTAAACAAATTCATAATGACATCTAACAAAGCATCAAATACATTTTATGTAATCTTATGGGATGAATGCATATGCTATGTCATGCTCAAAATATTTTTCTCATCTTTTGAAAATTTTATGCACAATGCCAATTTGAAAACACATTAATTCAACAATTTCATTAAAATTTCAAGGTGGTAAATACGACTTAGGTAATCCCTAGGCTAGTGTCTGTAAGTAGGCATATCGAGCACTACCAATTCCCCACTTTACCGGTCTCTCACTAGAAGGGCAGTGGTGTAACGCCCCAAATTTCTAGCCCAAATGATAATACAACAATCATGGCTCTTTTAAGAAAAACTGAATATAAATCTCCAAACTTACATTATATGATACAATAGTTGTTCATGCAATAATACATTAATCCAGCAACAAGTAAATAAACAAATAAATACCCCCAAGGGTTTACAAGTTTCCAAGGTTAGAGCCTGGTTACACAAAATAGTTATTCAAACTCACACAAACACAGCCCTTGGCTTACACACAGAGTCACAACAAAATGAGAGTGTTGTACTCCCAACACATATACTTCCACGCACCTAGTTGGGTGGGAACACCACATCTTTTCCTGTATAAAAATCCCGTAGGGTGAGTATAAAGCTCAGTAGAAAATTCTTAACAAAATATATACACTTTATACAAGTTTCAAGAGATGAAATGCACATGCCATGCTATGCCCTTTTTTAAGATGAATCACACTTTCATCTTTTGAAAACCATCATGCTCAATGATATCATGCAATTTCAATTGTTCAAAACTTAACAATTTATTTCAAGGGCGGTAAATACGATTCTGGTAATTCCTAGGTCGATGTCTGCAAGTAGACTATACAAGTGCTACCAATTTGTCATTTTTACCAGTATTGACCGAAAGGCTCGACACCTATCCGCGCAGGTTTTCGGTCTTTTACCCCAGACTCTCAGGCCAACTTATTCAATATCATCTACACCACCTATCAAGACTTACCAACGTATTTACCCAAAACCATTCCATAAAAACTTGTTTCTCAACATTCTTTTCTCAATGCAAGTTTTCTGTAATGACCCCAAAATGCGTATAAGAAATCATCTTTATTTACCTATGAGAGGATGTGTTTTAATTTAATTATATCTATTAGAATTTATGCATTATCTGTTGAGTTACGGCCTTCAAATTGAAATTATCGACCTTTATGGGTTCAGAAATCAAAATTGAGTACTTGGGTATGTTAATGGAAATTTTTAGAACTATTGGGAAAAATTAATTGGAAATCTAATTTGTCTGGTTCGTTAATACACGTTTGGGTGACTAACTTTGTACTGCAAATTGAAGACCCTAAAGACTTCAGAAACCAGAACAGGGGACATATTTATGATCAGCACAATTTTTAGAGTCACCTGGAAACTTTAATTGAAATTTGATTTTACGCAATTCGTAAGGCCACGTTTGGTTCTCCCTATTGTGTTAAGCCTTGTGTATGTGTTTATTTAGATATATAGATATGTTTGTGAGTGTTTGGTCTCATCTTTTGGAAGCCAAAATATCTAAAAGAGAGAGAGGAGAACTGTGGGGGAGAAAAGAGAGGGGTTACCAAGAAGAGCTTAACAATCATGGTGGTTTGAAGGGAATTGAAGATAGAGAAAGGAGAACAACCATGGAAGCTTGGAGAAATCAAAGAGTGAACTAAGGTAAGATTAATTATCTTGAATCCTTATGTTTGAGACATCAATTTCATGAAATCATGATAATAAGGGAAGCTTTGAACCCATTTGAGTTAGGGTTTTATGTATATATATTGATTGAATCTTGATTTCCTTAGAATTTCTTGATTGAAGAAGTATAGGCATTATATTTGTTTATTTTGAGGCAATGATGGTTGATGGAGAATAATAATGTGAAATTGGTCATGTATTAAAGGGTTTTGGGCTTTGATTTACATGTAATTAAGGTTTGATTTTGAAAATGAGAAGTCCCAAATTTTCAGCCATTTTCGGACTGCAAACTGTCCAGGCCGCACGTGCGGCACTGTTCCCCCGCACGTGCGGAGACAGCTCTGTCCAGCCAACTTTGAACAAGCATATCTTTTGTATCCGGACTCCATTTTGAGTGATTCTTGAGCCTAAAATCAAGCCCCGAAAGCCTAGTTTCTAATGGCAATGGTCTCACGCTCAAATTCTAAATAAAGAAATAGTTATGCCCAAATTAGTGACGACTGTTCACTTTCTGTCAACCAGTTTTGTACCATTTCTTCACCTAAACCATTTCCCATCGATTTCTCCTATTTTTTGAGACATGGATTATAACTTATTAAAGAATAATGAGCTTGGTACCACCATGGCTAATTTATTGAATGATCAAAGAGAATAAGTAAAGGATTGAGTATAATCTCATATAATGTGTTGTGCAATGTACTTGTAGGTCGAGACGAGGACATCATCCCAGTACTACCGGGAGCGGATCACTGTGAGTAATAGTACCCTCAATGTTTCATCATCCCGTTAATTACTATTTTTATTAACGTTATGTTGAACATGTATGCTATTAAGGAATGGTATGAAATCATGGAATTGTGAACTATGAACCTATGGAAACATCGAAAGAATTGTGAACTATGAATCTCCAACTTGTGAAATATGAAATGATGAGGCCGAGGGCCAATTGTGAAATATGAATCTCCGACTTGTGAATTTAAGAGGCCGAGGGCCGACTTGTGAATTTATGAGGCCGAGGGCCAATCTGTGAATTTGTGAACGTATTAGGCCGAGGGCCAAGCTGTGAAATACGTTGTACTTATTATTAATAATTATTAGTAGTACTCTGTCAAACGCCAACTAACTATGTATGACTCTGATTAATAGTTGATATGAACATTCTATTTTTCGTAAGTAAATTATGTCGTTTATTAATGAAGAAAGAGAACTTATGTTCATTCTGGAATAATGGTTTTAGTGTAACTATGAAAGCATATCGTGTTGCTACTAATAGGCCTGAGGCCGATCAGTTATAAATCATCGAGTATGGATATTTCTGAGGGATCAAAATAATTGGATAAGCTATGTGCGTCCGTATGAGTCTGAAATAGTTCTGTTGTGTTACATATGGACCCGAGGTCATTCAGAACCTACGATATGAATGCAAAGGTTTAACGTTATTATATGCTCTCTGTAATAGTATGATTCGTATTCTGTTATACACGAGATAACTGTGTTAATCGGTAACTAAGTCATGAGAAGTTTATGTGTGCTATACCATAATGGAATTCTTAAGGAACTAAGGTTATTCTGTTTTTGTTTATCCGTTTCGGTTATTTTATGTTATGACATAATATGCATTGTTTGGTCTTTATGACCTAATGATATATTCTGGTACGGAACAAAGTGCTGTACGGAACTAAGTGCTACACCTTGGTGGGAGCCATCTCTAGAATCCGTGCAAACCACCTCTTGAGTCCATACATAGTTATTTCTGGGCCGAAAGGCTGTTTTGTATATTTCTGGACCAAAAGGTTGTTCTGTATATATTTCTAGGCTGAAAGGCTGTTTCGTTATTTCTGGGCCTATGGCCATTTTGTATCTGAAGACCTATGGTTGTTCTGTATATGTTAGGCTTAAAGCCACTCTGTCACGGAAATTAGACCCATGGCTGTTTTGGAAATAATTACGGAATGTAGTTAATCATATGTATCTGCAGTTATATGTTTTATTATTCAGGTTAAACATTACATTATTTATGTACTATTATTCACTGAGTTCGCTCATTCTGTATTTTGTCTGTCTATTTCTGTAGGTAATCAACCGGGAGTTCGGTCCTAACCTTTAAGGCTCGTCTTTCTCTTGTCAACTTTGATGCGTCCGAGCACCTACCTGAAGCCGTGCATTTTGTAAAGTGTTGTTAGGTTATTGGCTTATGTTTTGGTTGTCTTTCATTAATATTTTCGTTACACGCCCAGTTGTGGGTGTAAGTATGAATGTATAAGTGTGTAACCGAAGTTTGGGTGTATGTTTCTATATATTATGTACCTAATGCAATGTGTATGGTCCTGGCATGGTAGAGGTAGCTCAATGGATGATGTTTTATGTTATTTTATAATGGTAATACTTCCGCTCAGGCCCCATATGTTATGTATAACAGGTTAAGTGTCCATTTCTGAATAGGTCATTCCCAAAACTTTTAGGGGCGGGTTTTGGGGTATGACATTTTCAAATCAACTTTCAAAGTTTAATGTAATCAATGAATTGATTTGTCAATAACACAAGATGAATATAAATACTTTTATTTCAATTCATCATCCAAGGAAAAACACAATTCCCTCTTCTCAAGTATCCTCAACAATTTGTTATTTCAAGACTATTTCAACATTTTGAACAATAAATTCCAAAATGAACAATAATTCTCATATTCCCTGAAATTCATCATTTATATAAATATAAATAAGAAATTTTCCAAAGATCCATTTATTTTGACACAAAAAATAAATATAACAAGATCATTCATGGATTTTCAGTCTCAAAAAAATTTTTCCAAATTTTAGGTTTTCTCACAAAAACTATACAACTCAAATCTTTTGAAAGAAAACTTTTCAAAATCATCTTTTCTTCAATCAACAAAGATCAAAAGCCATAAGATCATTTTAAAAGATCAAGAGACAAACCCACTTTCAAAATTGCTCAACTTCTTGAATCAACAATCAAGTTTCAAAGCTATCGAAAGATGATTTCAAAAATCATATAGATCTTGCAAAAACATATATATAACTCTAAGAAAATCCCTACCTCAAGTTTTGAAGAAGAAATGAGATGAAACCCCCAAAATCACGGTGTTGAAACTCGATCTTTACCGCACACAACGAAGCCCTAGAGATAATAACCAACTTTGGTGAAGAACTTAGGTCTAAATCCCAATGGATTTGGAGAAATCAAAGAGAGAAGCTCCCGATCTGGAATTCTGGAGAGTTTGAGAGAGAGAGGACTGAAAAAGTGATCTGAAATATCAGATTCACGAACTGATATAACATGGTCCACTCGAGCGGGGAAAGCCTCGCTCGAGCGTCAGATACACTAACCCAGTACTTTTGCAGATAGGTCAAACTTCTGAAACCAAACATTCTTCGCTCGAGCGCATAAACGGCCGCTCGAGCAAACAACCAACTTCGAATGCATTTTGCATTTTTGCTTCGAGGGCGCTGCCTCTCTACCCCGCCAGGGCGTTGCCCTCGGACCCGCCAAGAGGTGCTGCCCCCTAGACCCCCGCGAGCTAACCGGGCAGCTAGATCCCCGACCGGCCCAGTCGAAGTGGCAAAACATGAAAGAAAGATCGAAACCAGGATTGCTACAAGTGGTACCTCCTCCACACTGTTTTTGATCTTTCACCATGGACACTCAGGCCAACTTAAACCAATATCAAACTACACCCCCTATCCGGACTTACCAACGTATTTACCCAAAACAAATCCAAATGATCTTGTTTCACAAAAACAATTCATTTCTCAAAACAATAGTTTTCAATTGCAATTCGAAATCCTTGATAACAATGAAATGGAATGGCAATGCAATATGTAACAATGCATTAGAATAGTTCCAATTTCAATTCCACCACACAATGCTTCACTGTGATCAATTTCCATATCTCTATCAATGTAATATCACGATACAATCCCAAGAGATAACATAATAATGTCAATGTTCACATATTTACCACATGTAAATCAATAACTTAGTCGTTTCAAGATAATTCAACAACATTCTTTATAGACAACAAAACTTCCAAAATCAAACATTTTCTTATCTTTCCAAGTGTCTCATTTAAATACCAACATGGAAATCCTCTACCGGTTACCAAAATCAAAACTTTTAAACAATAGGTTCATTATTAGCAATAACATATAACACCAAGGCGGGTTCAAGGTTTCATCAATTTCTAATTCACATACTTTATCAATGAAAGGTAATTACAATTCTTCCAAAACTCATCCCCATCCCAAACATTTAATATAATCAAATTCTTATTTTCTCATGCAAGTAAAATCTTGGGATCTTCAAGTTTAATCATAATTTTCAATAAGCATAAGTGAATATCCCAACACTTAACCAGTTATACCAAAATCTTCTCTTAACTATAATTATAAAATATAACACGAGTGTTTACTTTCCAATTATCAATATCCACCCCATCGAATTAAACCAAGGAAAAATAATAAATAAATAAAAGTTTTGATAACTCATTTTTGTTTTAATCTAATTCATCTATTTGCTCTAAACAAGCTAAAAATCACATTCTATTCTTTTCTTGTCAAAAACCGCCAAACAATTCAAATATCTCATAAAAATTTTAAAGTATGAAATTATTATTATAACATTACTCAACTACTAAAACTAGGAACCCAAAACCATACCACATCAACTTAATCTCACTTATTTCTCCAAATCTCATACTTGGTCAACTTCGTCACTTTTAATCTCATAATATTAAAGCTATGAATTAAAAACCCATTAGCACCCCTTTAATTACGAAAGATTTAAAATATTAACCAAACTAATTTAATTCATCAAATTAGTAAGTTCATTATATTCACCATCTTCCCAATTAATAACACCAACTTAACCTCACATGCTTCATCCCTCAAACATAACCATATTTCAACAAAATCATTTTTCATGCCAACTTAAAGAGGTAATATTTTTACAAAATTCTCTACCAATAACAATTTCATCACTTTTTCTAAAATTACCTAACCAACATGATGTTTACATCAAAAATTATGAAATATGTCCAAGAGTAACATTTTCAAGGTTATGAGTTCAAAAGTCCATATTTCACATTTTTCACATTCACAAAGAAATGAACACAACTTAATCATCAACATATCGCCTTCCATAAAGTTTCATGAATATAACACTTTTAAAGTTTTTAATCCCAAAACAACTCTATAATCCCAACTTAACAATCTACATAATATTCTTCAATATCAATTTATTTTTCTCAAAAATAAATTCCAAATCAAAGATAAAAAAAAATATTTCAACTTTATATTTTTTAAAATAAATCATCTAATCATAATATAATGTAGATACAATCCATACATCTTTTAAATTTTTTTTTAGATTTTTTTTTTTTACAAAATTATCAACAAAAAATTATTTTTCCAAATCAATCTCAAAATGCCAACATTCTTAACATTTCAACATAATTTTTCTTTCAAAGATTACCAAACAAAAAATCTGAAATATATATATATATATATATATCTATATGCAATACCTCTTAAAATGACATATTTTCTTAAAATAACTCTAACATAGTTTTAATGTAATAATATGAAGAAAGTCCCTACCTCAAATATGAAGAAAAACTAATCCGAAAATGTAAACATCACCCGATTATGAATCCAAGACCACCATTGCGAAGATCACAACGAGCTCTCCGACTTTCATTTACAACACTTTTACAAAATCTCACTCTAAAGACTCCCACTCTAAACTCAAAGCTTGAGCAACAATGGAAGAAAGAGAGAGAGAGAGAGAGAGAGAGAGGCACAAGAGAGGGAAGCCTCTGCCAAACCCAACAAAAGAAATGAAAAGAAAAGGGAAAAGAAAGAAAGGATGAAGGGAGAGGGCAGCCCCACGTGGGTTGCCTTCCCAAGAATGAGCTTTCCAAAAATAATTTAATTTTTTGTAATAATATTTTTAAATTTTATAATATAAATTATAAAATTATATAATTTTTCTCATCACAAAATATAAAATTTTGCTTATCACGAAATATATATTCATTTTATTCACTTTAAAAATATATAATTTTTCACCATATGGTACACATCATAGAATCAACTATTAAATATTTATTATAATTCTACATGATAAATAATAATAACCCCCAAGATAGTTATTACCAATCACCTAATTAAAAATGACCAAACAATTAAACATGAGTCATTAAACAAACTCAATTTAAATTAAATCTAAGTCATGAGCCTCACCCATAAGTCAAAAATGGTCCAATTATATACCAAAATAAACCCAACAAATTTATCTCAAATCATGGTCTAGACACCCAAAATCCAATTTCAAATTCCGCTATAAATTAAATTGAACACCAATCAGTTCGTAAATTTTTTTTATAAAATAAATATTCATCAATTAATTTCTGAAATTTTTATCCAACATGCTAGACTCATATGGGAACAATATAAAAAGAAAAAATTCATAATTTCAGAGATTCAAAATTATATTTTTTTTTTAAAAAAAAATTATTGCAAAAATTGAATCATTTTCACACATAACTTTACACAACACTCCAACCCAAATATTAGTCAATTAATTTATGCACTGACTATTTAAAAGAAAATATTTTGAGACATTACACCACCGATTCTCCATCTCCACCGGCACCACCGACTCTCCTCCCCTCCACCGACACCGCCGACTCTCCTCTTGCAGGTAAGTGCTCTCTCTCTGTCTGTCTCTCTCTCTCTCTCTCTCTCTCTCTATATATATATATATATATATATCAGTCTCCCTAAGAACTGAAATAGTAGATGATTTGAGTGTTCGATTTGTGTTCTTTTGCCCCTAGTCAATTCTGAGCTTTCTCTAGAATCAAACTCGGGAAAAATTATGTATGCTTTTGTAATCTTTCACCCCTGTTCTTTCGCCTCACGGGTTTGGCTTGATATGTACCCAAAAAGAGTTCTCTGTTTTTGAGCTTTCTATATATTAGGGATTAATGGTGTATACTTTTGTAATCTACTAGCAGAATTCTAATTGGGAAATATTTCCTCACTGAGAATGTTCCTTTTCCATTTGAGAGAATTTGAAGGTAGAATTCAAAATTTATGTACCCAGATAATGAATTGCAACTATGGCAAGGAATCAATAAAGAAAACCCCCAGAAATTTTCTTAGGAAAATCTCCAACTGAGTGTAAGTTGGTAGTTAAAAGGGAATGCAATTGTATTTTCTTCTTATAATTCATTCAAACAATAATGAAAATGGTGAGAGAAGGAGATGGGTGTGAACAGAAATGAAGCAGAGAGGAAAAGAGAGGATAAATAATAGGAGGAAAGTGGAGGGGGAAGCAAGAAAGCAAGATAAAAAAATAAAAATAAAAAAAAATGAGCAATTGTTTGTTTGACCTTTCATAAAATAATAAATATATGCATATACATAGAATATGTTTTGTTTTTGTTTTTATTTAAACGTAATTTAATTTTTAAATGTGTCATAAGTTATATATATATATATAATCTGTTTTGTTTTTGTTTTGTTTCTTTTTTTTTTTTAATAAGGACAACATAAAGTGTTTTTTGTTAATATATAATAAAGTACAAAATTGTCTTATTTGAATATAAACTATTTCATTGTTATTTTTTTTCAAAAAACATATTTAATTTTTAAAATAAATATGTTTATGTTTTATATGTTTTTTACACACCAAACTATTTTTTAAATAGAAAAAACAGAAATTATATTTTGTTAATATATATAGAGAGAATCAAGTTCACTAGTATTTTTTTTTTTTTCATATACATATTTGCTTTCTAAATACTATAGAAACTATTTTGCAATAGAAAAGACACTATGGTCATTACATTCCCAACAGAGTTAATGTATTTGGCTATGATGACACGGTTTCTGAATTGCCCAATTTCAAACAATTTAGGAATGCATAAATATATATTGTAGTCTGTAGCTCACTGTTATAAATTGTAAACCTTTAGTAATTAATGTGATGCAATTTTCACAGGTAAAGTTAAGAAAAGTGGGACAATGTATAAAAGTTCGATTGATTTAGGAATTAGGATGTCAAGGGAGTACTTGGATGGGATTGATATATTCCTAAAGTTTGCATACAACAATAGGATTGAAGGTTCATATATTAGTTGTCCTTGTAGGAATTGTGAGAATCACTATAATTTTTCATGAGAAGTTGTGAATGATCATCTTTATAGTAATGGCTTCTTTAAGAAGTATAAAAATTGGACTAATCATGGTGAATCATAAGTTCCATTGCATGGTAATGAGGATATGGAAACTTTGGTGGATTCAAATGTTAGGGATGATATGATTGGAATGCTAAACGATACTCCAAAAAATCCACATGTACATGTAAGTGTTGAAGATGATGATCGAAGTACAAATAAGGCTTGCATAGGTCCAAATGAAGAAACCATAAAGTATTTCAAACTTCTACAAGATGCACAAAGTGAACTGTATCCAAGCTGTAAGATATTCACATCATTGTCATGCATTGTTAGACTTTTGCATATTAAGGTGCTCAATAAGTGGACAAAAAAATATGTTGACATGCTACTTGAGTTATTGAATGAGGCTTTTCCTAAAGGTGTGAAACTTCCAAGTCCATACTATGACGCTCAGAAAGTAACTTAGGATTTGGGCTTCACATATGAGACTTGGGATGCATGCCCTAAAAGTTGTATGTTGTTCCGAAATGATCATGCAAGTCTCGATGAATGTGTTGTTTGCAAGAGTAGTAGATGGAAATCGAATGATGGTAAAAGACATGGTAAATGTAAAGCTACAAAACAAATGAGATATTTTCCTTTGAAGCCAAGGTTGCAAAGATTGTTTATGTCATCCAAAATGGCAAAGCTCATGAGATGGCATCAAGAGTAACGAATTGATGATAGTTTGTTAAGGCATCCTGCTAACTCCCTTGCATGGAAAGATTTTGATTGACAAAATAGCGTCTTTGCTAGTGATAGTCAAAGTGTAAGGCTTAGGTTAGCATCTGATGGATTCAATCCATTCATATCAATGCACATAGTTCATAGCACTTGGCCTGCCGTGTTAATTCCTTACAACTTACCCCCATGGATGTGCATGAAGCAACCATTTTTCATTTTGTTTATACTTATCGATGGCCCAAAAGGACCTGGGGACAAGATTGATGTATATTTACAACCATTAATTAAGGAGTTGAAGGAATTGAAGAATAAAGGTGTAGCCACATGTGATGCATTAACAAATCAAATGTTTCAAATGCATGCAGCTTTGCTATGGACAATTAATGATTTCCCGGTTTATGCCAACTTATCAGGTTGGAGTACCAAAGGTGAATATGTTTGTCCTTGTTACAATACAAAAAAGGTATCATGTTGGTTGAAACATGGTAAAAAGCATTCCTACATTGGGCATTGTCAGTTCTTGCCTAGCAATCATAAATTTGGAAAGGGTAGAGTATCATTTGATGGCAAACGAGAATGGGGAAGCAAACCTAAATTGTTGTTTGGATCTGAGCTATTGCATCAGTTGGATTCAAAAGATATCTTGACCCAATACAAGATTGATGACCTTAAGAAAAGGCAACAGAGACAAAGAGAGAGGGGAACTTCCAAATCTCGAAGCCATAATTGGAAGAAGAAGAGCATTTTATGAACTACCGTATTGGTAGGCACAATCTTGATGTGATGCATATAGAGAAAAATGTATGTGATAATGTCTTGTGGACATTACTTGGAGTTGCAGGAAAATCTAATGACAATGTGAGTGGTCGACGTGATCTGCAAGAGATGAATATTAGAAGACCACTACATGTGCAATCAAAAGGGCCCAACAAAGTGTACTTACCTCCTGCACAATTTACAATGAGTAAGAATGAAAAAGATATATTTCTATAAGTACTAAAAAGAGTGAAAGTGCCAGATTGGTATGCATCAAATATTTCAAGACATGTGCATTTAGAAGATAGTCATAAGAGTCATGATAGTCATATTTTGATGAAACAACTTACACCATTGGCTATTCGCAAATCCTTGCCCAAGAATGTGGTTGAACCCTTGATTGAATTGGGCAATTTTTTTCGGTAATTATGCTCCAAGGAGAATCATGCGACAGATTTGGAATACATTCAAAATCACATTAGTGTAACACTTTGTCATCTTGAGAAAATATTTCCAGCTACATTCTTTGATATAATGGAACATTTGCCTATACATTTAGCTAGTGAAGCTTTGATTGGTGGAGCAGTGCAATTCAGGTGGATGTATCCAATTGAAAGGTTTCTCCTTACGTTGAAACAGTATATGTGCGTAATCGAGCTTATCCAGAAAGTTCAATTGCTAAAGGTTACTTGATAGAAGAGCGCATGAAATTTTGTGCACGATATTTGGATGATGTTGAAACTAGAAGTAACCAACCGGTGAGGAACTACGATGGTGGTGATAACATGGGTCGTGCTGTTGGGGAGAACACTATATTTTATCTTGATAATAATGCATGGACACAAGCTCATCGATATAACTTATTCAATACAAGTTCATTTGCTTCATTTATAATGTAAGTTGCATCATCCATTATTATTATTCCCCTCTCTCTCCCCTTCCCTTCCCTCCCCTCTCCTCTGAAACAAGGAAATTATCTAAGATATCTTTTAATTTACATAGCAAGCACCTTAAATTCCTCAAAAGCAAAATGCCACATGCGAATGATCATCAAATTCAACGTGAACATTTTGAAACATTCCACACTTGGTTTCTGGATCATGTATGTATATTTAAATATATCATCCAACTTACATAGTTTTTATTTATATTAACAATT